CGAATGGGGCCTAATCCGTATAGGTTTGTAAACGATGTTTGCAAGCTTGAAATAGTGTTTGCTTGTTATGGCACAAGTTTCACACCTCTTGGTGAACCTAAGGGTTGGAAGAAGCATAATGGTCCTATTCTCCATCCTAATGTGCACATGATTAGGAAGCCGGGGAGGCCACGAGTTACAAGAATTCACAACGAGATTGATTGACCAAGAGAGGGTGTAACACAACAAGTGTGTAGCAACTGTAACCAAAGTGGCCATAATGCATCAACTTGTGGTGGCCAAGCAAGTGGGAGTGTTAGCCAGCGAAGAGGAAGTGGTGGCCAATGACGTGCGAGCGGTGGTGGAAGAGGAACTAGTTGTAATAGACGTGGTATATAGTTTGGTCGAATGTAGTAGTTGTTATGGTTTGAAGTAGTGGTTGTTTTTCAAGTAGTTGTTATGGTTTGAAGTAGTAGTTGTTTTTCCACTTGTAGGTTGTTGTTGTTGGGACTATTATAAAATGTCCGAGTTGTTGTTGTTTGTTATTTGTTGTTCCGAATATTTAATGTTAATAATATAATACATAAATAGTCCACATAAATATCACACATAATAGTCCACATAAATATCCCAAAGAAGTACATAATAATAACATAACAATCATAATAGTGCTCTCTCAACGTAAGGTTGCCACTACAGACGAAAAATGGTCACGTTATTACTCCAAAATCTAAAACAAACAAATGAAATGTATTCTATAAAATGAAATGTTATATACTAACCACCATAGTTTCCATCTCGTCAAACCACAGCTTGTACTGGAATAGCTGGTCACCATACCGACGAGTGTTGGCCAGAAGCCATCGAACACCACGTGGGGATGCGTCCTCGGCAATCTGCGCCCTCGTCTCCGAATGTCGCGGTGTCAGATGTGGGAATTGCTCCCACGCCCAGAGCTGCAGTAAGGGGACCCATCCACCAAGGTCCCCTCATAGAGAAGTGGAGGAATGCGTAATGTGCAAAGACGACCTACCCATCTCACGGTACAGGTAGGATAAAACAGCTGCTCCCCAGGCCAACCGTCCAGCTCTCTGCTAATCCTCCACCAAAAGTAGGTACTGTAGGTGCACCGTAGCTCCAGACCGATCTGGGAACAATACACCTCCCATAAGAGATAGAGCATAAGCTCGTTCAAACTGCTCTGTAACCTCCTGAGATGCATTTCCCGGCAGATGATTGAATTCATCCCTCAGCCAAACAATCCTAACGACACCGCCGGAAAGATCATCAGGAACCCGTCCTAACAGTCTCAAACAGATCTCCGACCATTCCTCATCCGGTATGTCTACTACGACGGCATCACCATCGATCGCTAGACCGTTCAGTATCACAACGTCCTCTAACGTGATAGTGACCTCACCAAACGGCAAATGGAAGGTCGACGTCTCTGGTCGCCAACGCTCTACGGGCGCAATAATCAAACTCACATCAGCATTCATGGGGCCAGGGGCAAAACACTAGATAAGCCCGCCGCTCTGAGATATGACAGATAACGCTCATGGTACGTGACTAAATTGGTCGTACCTCGAAAATGGTAAGGTCGATCACCAGCCTATAGTGCACAAAAGTTATATTAATTCAATTTCATTCTTAATAATTATAATTTCACCTAGTAAAATCTAATATATCTAATCTAATCTAAAAAAAATTATACGTAATCTTATTCTAATTTCAATACAGTTCAGTTAACCTAGTAAAATAGTCTAATCTAACTAGCTAAGTAACTTTACAGAAATAGTTATCAAATACTTACCTCGTTTGTCCAAACTGAGTCGATACGATGTTGACCATGTCCCCAAAGAAGTACTGGATCGACCGGAGCTGGATCAATTGTCGCAGGCGGTAGTCTCATGGAATAACTGTCCATAAGCCTAGGAACTGCAAAAGAAAAAAAAATTAACATTAATTAAAAAAATTAAAAAAAAAACCACCGCCGACGAGATTCTCACCACGCCCGCCGCCTCCACGACCTCGCCGGCCTCTCCCCTGCCTCTGCCGGCGACCGCTTCTTCTTCGTCGGACGACATCTCTCCGTCGAAGTTGAACTCAGGCGCTGCCGCCTCTATCTGCAGCGGGGTGCCTCTGTCTGCAGCACGTCTGCCTCTTTCTGCGACGGGGCCGCCTCTGTCTACGGCGGGGTCGCCCTCCTCGACGTTGTGGGGCGACTAGGGGTGGCTATTTGGACCGGGACCGGATGAAAAACCGGAAACCAGACCGTATAACCCGGACCGAGACCGGACCGGGACCGGATAGTAAACAATCCAATCCAATTTTTGGGCTTAGATTTGAGGTAAAAAAACCGGATAAAGACCGGATAAGAGAGCTCAACACCCAAAACTTAAGGGTAATTTGCATAAACGGTCACAAACCTTTGCACTTAGTACAAAACTTAACCAACTCCTCACCCTTTTAGGCCTTAGGCCACTCAAATTCCCACAATCTCAATATAAAATCAAGACCAAATTGGGACCGGACCGGGTCAAGACCGGACCGGATCAAGACCGGACTGTATCCAATCCAATCTTCGGTCCTTATATTTTCAAAAAAACCGGACTGGACCGGATCAATTTGGGCCAATTTAACCGGACCGAACCGTATAGCCACCCCTAGGGGCGACGGCGGCGTGGGTGTGGTTAGGGCGAGTAGGTTGGGGAGGCGGGGTGTGGGAAGGAAGAAGAAGAAGATGATAAGAAATGGGTGGAGGGTAGGGGTGGCAGTTCGGTTGTCGGTTAGCGGCTAACCGGACGGTTAGACCGATAACCACCGGTTAGCGGCTAATCGAAAACCGACTGTATACAGTCTCGGTCGGTGGTCAGAGTGGCTGGTAGGAGAGTCGGCTAGCCGAGCAACCGAAATCGGCTAGCCGAGTAACCGAGACCAACCGACCCATATAAAACCCACCCCAAACCCTATCATCCTTCTCCTTCTCCTTCTCCTTCGTGGATCTCGACTCCTCCCTTCCCTCACCACCAGCAACCACCCCCCGACTCCACTTCTCCCTGAATCTTCTTCTTCTCCTTAAATTTTCGAATCCCTAAATCTTCTTCTTCACCCATCAACCTTCTATTCCACCCTCACCTCCACAAAGTCACAATCCGTCGGATTTACCGTCGGACTCCTTCTCGTTTCGACGTCGTCGGCGTCCTTCCCAGTCGTCATCGTATCCTTCTTTCCTCGATCGATGGCAGATCCCCAATAGAACCAAAAATAAACTATCAAAACCCAAAATCGAAATTGAACCTCCGAAACCAACATGCAAACAAAAAAAAACCTACCTTTGACCTTTTTCTTCGCCGTCGTCATCATCATCGTCGGTGTTGGTGCAACCATCCTCGTCGCCGTCAGGTGGTAAAAGAGGGTTCGTTCCCTCTTCTTTCCTGACCCCTCGCCGATTCCGAAAAGAGAGAGAGACGGAGAGACGGAATGGGAGATGAAACGAGAGGAAGAAGAAGCAAATCGCAGCACAACCACCCTCCGCCTTTGTCCGCCGTCTTCGCGAGGTCGCTCCTCCCTCTCCCGTCGGCGGCGAGCCTCCTTCTCGGCTGCTTCTTGAATCTTGAGTGGAAAAGAGAGGAGAGAGAAGGATGGAGGAGAGAGACGGAGAAGATAATGAATAAGTGGTGGTGGTGGAGGGTTTGAAAGGAGAGAGACGGAGGAGATAAGGAATAAGTGGTTCCTGTATTTTTTGATTTTTTTAATTTTATTTAATTTTTTTTAGATTAGGGTCTAGTTTTCGGGCATAAGGTTAACCGAACCAAAACCGGCTAACCGACCAGTCGGTGGTCGGCTAGCCGATGTATATTTCACGGTCGGTGGTCGGTATCCGGAGGTGGTCGCTCGGTTTAACCGATAACCGAGAAATCGGTTTTTCGGTTAAACCGAAACCGACCGACTGACACCCCTAGTGGAGGGCGTGGCGTCGTGGGGTTTAATAAAAAAAGAAGGATGGTGGGGCCGCTTGAGTCTTAGGCGCCAACGCCTAAAACTAGTGCTAGGGTTTCATAAAGCGTCCCCGCCTGGGTCTCTGGCGGCCGCGCCTGCAATCCTACACAAATACACAATATTTGTGTAAATACTAGGGCTGGCTATTTGGACCGGGACCGGATAAAAAACCGGAAACCGGACCGTATAACCCGGACCGAGACCGGACCGGAACCGGATAGTAAACAATCCAATCCAATCTTTGGGCTTAGATTTGAGGTAAAAAACCGGATAAAGACCGGATAAGAGAGCTCAACACCCTAAACTTAAGGGTAATTTGCATAAACGGTCACAAACCTTTGCACTTAGTACAAAACTTAACCAACTCCTCACCCTTTTAGGCCTTATGCCACTCAAATTCCCACAATCTCAATATAAAATCAAGACCGAATTGGGACCGGACCGGATCAAGACCGGACTGTATCCAATCCAATCTTCGGTCCTTATATTTTCAAAAAACCCGGACTGGACCGGATCAATTTGGGCCAATTTAACCGGACCGGACCGTATAGCCACCCCTAGTAAATACTATTTAATCCGCCATATTCATGGCAAATTAAAAAAAGAACAATATTTATGTCATTCTCCCCGGTATTAGTTGGTATTTCAGTTTATATCGATCTCAATTTCGTAATTCCGAATACTAAATAATATTTGAAATTCAATCCCAATCACAATCTCAAAAAAATACGTATATTCGGTAATACCAAATTCGTCAAATTCGATACGTTATTATTTGTATCCCAAATAGCGGTACCAAACTTCCTGCCTATGTTAGATAGGACCCACTCATTCATATAAAAAGGTTAAATTCACTATTATAACAAGAATAAAAAAACCGAAAAAAATAAAAATGAATATAGTTTATTTTATTTATTTTTATTATATTTCTGATGTAAAATATTTAATACACGAAAATATGACTGTACAAAAAGATAAACCATTGGGTGAGAAAGAATTCTCCTCACTCGCCGGAGATAATGAACGCAGCCACCACATATTCCCCGCCTTATCATCGTCGCCACCACCAACACCACCATTTCCAGCTGCCGCCGCCGCAATCCCAACCCAGCATCGTCTCCATCCCGACCCAGAAATCAATCTTAGACCTCCTCAATTCCAAGCCCGCCACTTTTTCCCTCCAATCCCTCGCCCAAATCCACGCCCTCGCCCTCAAAACCGGCCATTTTCATGACCACTTCGTCTCCGGCACTCTCCTCAAATGCTACGCCAATCCGCGCTTCCACAACCTCGATTCAGCCATCCAACTCTTCCGCAACGTCCCTTCTCCTAACGTCTTCGTCCACAACGTCCTAATCAAAGCCTGCCTCGACAACGGCGAGCCGCTGCAGGCCGTCTGGCTATACTACGAGCTGATGATGAACGATGCCAAGCCCAACAAGTTCACTTACCCGACTCTGCTCAAGGCCTGCGGCGACGGCGGGATTGTTGCGGAAGGGAAGCAAGTTCATTGCCATGTGGTGAAGCTAGGGTTTGCTGGGGATGGGCATGTGAAGAGCGCAGGGATTCGGATGTACGGGTATTTCGGGATGGCGGCGGACGCGAGGAAGATGCTCGATGATGAAGACGACGACGACGCCGTGTGTTGGAATGCGATGATTGATGGGTATTTCAGATGCGGGGATGTGGGGAGTGCGGAAGAGGTGTTTGATGAAATGGGCGAGAGAGGAAGAAGAAATGTTGGGTCTTGGAACGCGATGGTGAGTGGGCTGGCTAGGCGCGGGAAAATTGAGGATGCCCGCAACCTGTTCGATGAAATGCCCGACAGAGATGAGATTTCGTGGAGCGTGGTGATTGACGGGTACATCAAGTCCGGATTTTACAAAGAGGCTTTGGAGGTTTTCAATACGATGCAGAGCGAGAGAATCCGACCGGGTAAGTTTGTGTTGACGAGCGTTCTCGCCGCTTGTGCTCATCTTGGTGCTCTCGACCATGGTCGATGGGTTCATGCCTACGTTAGGAGGAAGAAGAAATCGATTGTCATGGATGCCGTGTTGGGAACTGCATTGCTCGACATGTACGCGAAATGCGGGCGGCTGGACATGGCGTGGGAGGTCTTCGAGAGCATGAAGGAGAAGGAAGTTTTCTCATGGAACGCCATGATCAAAGGGCTGGCTATGCACGGTAGAGCTGACGACGCAGTGGAGCTCTTCTTCGAGATGCAGCGGAGGAAGTTCCGTCCCAATGGGATCACATTCATAGGAGTTCTCAACGCTTGTGCTCATTCAGGAGCAGTAGAACAAGCTCTGAAGCTTTTCAACTCCATGGAGAATGTATACAACATTGAACCAGAAGTTGAGCACTATGGATGCTTGGTGGATTGCCTAGGAAGATCAGGACGATTAGAGGAAGCGGAGGAGCTCGTCAACTCCATGCCAATAGAACCAAACCCTGCCGTTTATGGATCTCTTTTAGGAGCTTGCAGGATTCATGGAAATGCAGAGCTAGGCGAGAGAATCGGGAGACTTCTCCTCGAGCTGGAGCCGAACAACAGTGGGCGATACGCATTGCTGTCGAACATCTACGCCAAGGCCGAGAGATGGGACGACGTTGCTGAAGTTAGGAAGCTAATGAAGGAGAGAGGAGTTAAGACGAACCCCGGGAGCAGCATGATCGAGCTGGGGGGTTGCGTCCACGAGTTCAAGATGGGGGAAGGGTGTCACCCGAAGATGAAGGAGATTTACTCGACGCTTAAAGTCATGATCGAGAGGCTCGAGATGGAAGGTTATGTGCCGAATACTTCGCAGGTGTTGTTCAATATCGAGGAGGAGGAGAAGGAGACTGCGTTGCAGTATCACAGTGAGAAGCTGGCTATTGCATTCGGGTTCATCAGCACGAAGCCAGGGGAGACCATAAGGGTGGTGAAGAACTTGAGGGTTTGTGATGATTGTCATTCGGCGATTAAGCTTATCTCTCGAGTTTATGGTCGGGAGATTGCTCTGAGAGATCGTGTGAGGTACCATCATTTCAGGGATGGTACTTGTTCTTGTAAAGACTTCTGGTAGAAGAAAGGCCAGCAGTGGCAGTCTAGGCACAAGTGGGACTCTTAAGGGCCTTAATCAAAATCGAACTGTAATTGTTGGCATAGTTTATCCAGCTATTACAAATGCTCTTTGTCCTCTGCATGGACTAGTATCACAATATTGACAATATGCTTGATTAATTTACATCTATGTGCTTGATGCATAGGTAATGCATATGTGACAAATTAAATACAAAGAGATTGATGATGGTAATTTTGGGATTATGTGTTATGACGATCAAGCGGTTTATGTGATGACACTCGACGCTCGAATTAGGTAGGACAACAAAGTTGTGCTGATAAACTCTCACTATATGTACTCATACCATGGTTGGTTTGGTTTTGGCGATAGTTAAATTGATGTATTGTTATCAATGCATGTATAATAATATACATGTATATAAGAAAATTAGTGTATTGTACTTTAAATTGTTTGGTTTCTTTGATAGTTATTGAAATAAGTTGTATTACTTTTTGGGTGAAATGTCACTTTCACCCTTTGTTTTTAATATTAAAGAAACAACATACATAAAAAGGTAGGGACATCGTTAGAACGAAAGAAAACTCAACAATCTGTACTAAACAATCTCAACAATCTCAATCAAAACTTGAGATTTAACTATCACTTATTTTGAGTGATAGTTTGTATCAAATCAAGCAAACAATGCATGTATTGTTTGTGCAGAAAATTAATAAAAACAATGCATTGTGGACAATGCATGTATTGTAACTAGTTAGTAAATACTCCGTTTAATACACGTATATGTACCCGTACGTATTTTATCCATTTAAAACTTTCGTATTCGTATTATTATCAAGCCGTTTGATTTTTTTTCGTTCATTTGATGACTCCCGTACTAAACACGTATAAAACCCGTATAAAATATTTAATATCTGTATTTAATGAATTAAATTGTGAACTTTTAACTTTACTATTATTTATATATTTATGTAATTTTAAAATAATTAATTTTAATGTATTTATGACTATTAACGTACTAGTAAATATAAGATTAACTTAGAAATGACGTAAAATACCCGTACGTATTTTTTACGTAACTTTCCCGTACCGTGTTTTACTAACTAAATTATCATCAAAACCAAACCATCCCTTTAGTGTTTAATTTACATCTATATATAGCTTGCTTCCTCTCTCATCTTGCGATCTAAACTACTTGATTGTTTGTTTACGGGCGATTTAGGTTGATGAGAAGAAAATGTTGAATTCATTTTAATAAGGGGATTCTAATTCCTCAATTTGTAAAAAATCCTCAATATACAAATTTCTTGCACCAACCAATCAGAATATTCGACTTGCTGCCTCTACTATCATTGAGCGGTGTGTTAATACACATTGCTAGTTAATTTTGTGAATCTCGTTGTGGATCCCATGTCCCAAGGTTTCTTCTCATTTCTTTTTCTTTTTAATTTTGTGGCTGATCCGACTTTCTATTTACTCCGGTTCGTTGGCCGGTTGCAATATAATAATACTAACTAACAAAGTTTCAAAGTTTAAACTTCAGTAACTCCAATTCCATTATATTTGTGCTAAGATTATATGTCAATGTCATGCGAATTAACAAATAACGATATCAATTTCACTAAAAGAATTTGCCTCATTATAGTTGCAAAAATAATCGGTAGCACCTCTTAATCAACAATCTTCATCATGAACTCCGCTACATTCATCATCCATAGGTGCTTCACAATTAAGGAAATTGCCTCATTCCATCAATGATTATGGAATTTGCTATGTAATCACCAAACCTCGAGGTGGAAATTCTTCTTCTTCTCCTTCTTGTTTTTTTTTTTTAATACTTCATTCCTTCGTTTAATAACACATGAGGGAGAGGAGGTATCACTCTTCCACTATTTTTAGTAGCTTTTCAATAATAATTCTTAGAAATCCTGACTTCTCGATGATCCAAGACAACAAACTCATATTTGATAGTATTCACAACTCGAGTTGGATCCTTCTTTTTTTCATTAAGGGAGGCGCAGGGCCAAAGCAAAGAAAGGTACAGATGCTAAGAGGAAATGGAAGAGGTTGAGGCAACTACTTCTCTAGGAAAGGTGATGCCTCACAGGTCGTCCAGAAGGAGGTTTTGAAGCTCACTCGGCGGTGTTTCTAGTTCGTACAAACCGTAGGGATAGACGAGACTGTGCTTCGAGAGCCAGTCCGCAACTCTATTCCCTTCTCGGTAAGTATGAACCAGATTCACCACCCAATCTTGAGCAATCTTGCGCCGAATAGCCGTTAACAAATTCGCATAGGGATGGAGATGGTCTGTTCTGTTGTTCACAAGCTGAATGGCCAATCGAGAATCAGTTTCCAGGATCAGGGCTCTGCAATCAGTGTTCCAAGCTACTATGAGACCATGGTAAATAGCCCAAAGCTCAGCCATAGTAGCAGGACATGATCCCAAGCTCGAGACAAAACCACATACCCACTTACTATTGTCATCCCCTAGAGCTCCCCCTGCACCGGCAACACCGCGATTTGGGTCCGCAACACCATCCACATTCATCTTCTGCCATCCTGCTGGAGGGGATTTCCAACCAATCTACACTTCGATGCGGTTGGGAGGGAGGGTGTTCCGGCCAGCAATTGGGCTTGGAGAGTTCCAGGCTTTGTACCACAGTTCAGCTTTTATCTTTATAGCTTGAGCGAGGGATGGAGCTGATAAAGCCTTGCTTGCCCCATGGAAGACCCCTTCATTTCTATTCTTCCAAATGCACCATAGAGCAATGCAGAAGAAAGCATTCCAGGGCATCCCAATGGGAGATAGCTCTTCGCAAGAAATGTTTCTCTTGAAGCACGTGTCCCAGCTGCAGCCGAAAAAGTCTGCTTGGGATTCTCCCCTAATCGCGCGGCTCCAGAAGTAGGCTGCTGGCGGGCATTCTCTGAATATATGGCTAGTGCTTTCAATGTGCGCCTCACACCTGTAGCAGGAGGCCTCTTGAGTCAGATGACACCTCTCTCTCTGTCCATTAGAACTGATCCTCCCTTGCGCAATCAACCATGTGAAGCATCTCACCTGTTCGGGCACTGGTAACCTCCATATCGTCTTCCAAAGTTGCTGGTTTATGTCTGCAGACTGAGGTTGCTGCATCTGATAAACACTCTTGCGCGAAAACCTTCCATCCGGCGTCAACTGCCAGAAAAGGGTGTCTTCCTCTGACGTCAAGGGATCCACTGCGTGTGAGGTAATCTGCCGCTGAATTTCCGGTGGAAGAATATTAGTGAACTTTTCAGTCTTCCAGTTCCCTTCCTCGTCCACAAAATCCGCCACCCTCGCATGAAGCTCCTCTTCCGGGATGTTTCCCACAGCAAGGTCTTTGAATGGTACCTGTGCAAGCCACACATCCAACCAAAACTTAGTTCGATTACCCCTATGGATATTCCAGGCACAACCTTTTTTAATAAGGTCAACCGCCTTCATAAAACTCGACCAGGTGAAGGAACTTCCCTGAATTGGCTTGAGCAGATCCTCAATTAAAATTGGATCCTAAATATTAAAAATGCTAATAATTGAGATTCATTATTTAAGAGCAATATAAGCTTTAGTGAGGATGATTCTCAAATTGACTATAGGAGTTTGATCATTTGTTATAATAAAAAAAAAAATTGAGATGCATAGTATTAATAACCTTGGTAAGATTTGAACTTGATAAACATTTTTTTGAAATCTAAAATGTTTGTTGTCTAAATAACTTGTAATTCTCAAAAGTGTAAAAATATTTGTTCACTTATTACAACCCGAAACCCCTAGAGGCTCAAACTGACCACCAACATAATAAGACACCATAGTTATTGTTAACTAACTCAATGTGGTCACATAAGTAAATAGAAATTAATATTGCATACGACTCAAATATGTTCATCAACTGCCAGCAATGTACGCCACTCCACCATATTTTTATATACATTATTGGAGGAAGTAAGCCTTAGGAAGAACCAGATAGGTGGAGAAGAAGACAGAATAGTTATTAAATACTTCGTTTAATACAATATATATGACCATAAAAATTGTATCCATTTATAACTTTTGTATTCGTATTTTTGTTAACCTGTTTCATTTTTTCTTGTTCGTTTGATGACTTCCATACTAAACACGTATAAAACCGTATAACACGTTTAATATATGTATTTAATTAATTATATTGCTAATTGAACTATTATTTATATATTAATTTCATACGTGTAATTGGCCCATTTAACCCTTTTCTCCTTTGCATGGCCTATACTGTGTTTACCTAATTAATTATATTGCTAATAGAACTATCTGTGCTTTATTGTCCCCGGTCCAAGTATGCAGTCAATGCATAGAGAAATTACCAAATCTCCCTCCGTGGACTGCGTAGAGAGTAGGGAAAGGGAGATTAAGGGGGTTGTGGCCAAGAAACTCCATATAGTAGTGTTAGGATCGTTAAATTAAATCACTCAGAATGACGTCCAATTTCGTGACTGTTGTTTTTTCTCTCTGACTCTGAAGAGTTCCCTCCGTCTTCTCACTTTCCTCTAGCGGTGACGTTTCATCTTCTCACTTGCTTGGAGCGTGGTTCCTTGGTTACTGATCATCTCCTGATTCTGCTTCACTCTATCCCCTTTTCACTCTGATCCCCTGCCTTCTCTGTCCCATTGGTTTCTGGTGTACCTTTCCCCTGTCACTGCACTCCGCTCCCACCTCTGTCTTTTGGCCGTCTCCGTAGATTCGTCTTGTTGGCTTTTATCTCTTTTTGGGGGCCTTGCCTCAGCAATGGAAGACGAGTTAGCAACAAAGCTGTCGGGTATTGAATTAACTGAAGAAGAAGAAGAAACGACCATCAGCTTCGAAGAGACTATTGTTACTGAAGGAGTCGAAGAAGTTATTAGAGAACTTGGTCTTGCTGGAAAAGTCATTAAGGGCTCGCCACCATCTGCTCGTATCCTCAAGAGGATTCTTAGTGAAGTCTGGAAACTGAGAAAAGATTTCGATCTCC